CTGTCTTATTGACTGTCTTACAACAAGATGTGTCCCATTCATATAATAAAATCATTCAGGAATCCTTAGAAAGTACAACAGAAATAAGTCTATTCAATAATCCTTTGATAATAAATATCAGGTGAGGTATAAGATAGGGAGACAGATGCTCACTAAAACTAATTGTCAGTGTGATGGAGAAGATCTAGCACAGAGTCCAAATCAATGAGGAATTCCTTGAAGGGAGTGAGATCCTCCAAATGCTCCTGTTTGCAGATGAAATTGTGTTAATTGCATCAAACCCCAAGACACTGCAGAACCTCCTAGAAAGCATCTGTAATCACTGAAAGGAGTTTAGTTTGCCATCCACACAGTAAAGACCAAGTGGATGAAGAATGCCTATTTTTCAGATTTCAACATGCACCTGATTGTTTCCTCCCCTTAGAGTTTGTCCAACAGTTATGTATAAATGGGACAGACAGTTCAGATGGACAATGAGCTGGACCCAGGATAAGAAAGATAGAAGAGAAGAGTTGGGTTGTTTTTCAGAAATCTCTTGAGTATTTTTATTGACCCAAGCTTCCTATAATAACAAAGGCCTATCTTTTCAATAAAATTATTTTATTGGAGTTGTCATAGGGCACTGAGACTCAAAGCGTCACTTCTTTTTAAGAACTAAAGATGAGCATCACACAGAGGACAATGGAAAGGTGCATGGTTGGTCCAAGCAGGTTGCAGTGTATAATCAACCAGTAACTCTAAAGATGAATGAGAGTAAAAGATGTTATTAAGAAATTGTGTGACATAGATAGGCCAAATTTTATTACCTAATTATTACCTAATACCAATATTACCTAAATTAATTTACTTAGTGCCATACCACCCAAACTACCAAGGAGAGCTAGAAAAAAATAATTACGAAATTCATTTGAAAGAACAAAAGGTCAAGAAAATCAAAGGAATTAATTTTTAAACAAGTGATAAGGGATCCCAGCAGTACCAGATTTCAAACTAGACTACAAAGCTATAATCATCAAAACAGTTTAGTACTGAACAAGACATAGAGAGGTTGATTGGTAAAACAGATTAGGTACACAATATACAGAAACAAATACAGCAAGATCTGATAAACCCAAAGATCCCAGCTACTGGGGCAAGAATTCACTATTTGACAAAAACAGTTGGAAAAACTGGAAAGTAGTGTGGCAGAAACAAGGTATAGAACAATATCTCACCCCATTTACCAAAATAAACTCCAGACTGGTACAATTTAGACATAGATCATCTTCAGTCCTAGGTAAGAAGATGAGCAACCTTGTGTACAGCCTTTCACCTCCCATCACCCGCTGAGCATGTCTCCTGAGGGAGGGAGGTAAGAAGACTGTCTATCTTCTCCTAGCAAGAAAGTTTCCTCATCTGTAAGATTGGGAGGGTCCATTCTAGCTCTGCAAATTCTATGACTCGATAACTAAAGATTTGAGAGCAGGTTTTGAGCAAGGGAATGAGGAAAAGGAAGCAATAGGTCACTTTAGACCATCAAAGAAGCATGAGGATGCCACTGAGGTAAAAATAAATCTGGGTAGGTAAGAAATAACAAATTTATTTTTACTGGGAATCATAACATATAGATATGATGCTCTGCACACAGGTACACTTTAACAAGTGTTTGTTAAATTAATGAATTAATATACATTCCTATGGAAGCACAGAGAAACCATGAAAGAACTGCAGTTACAAAGATAGAATATTTAACTTTTGAGTTTTAGAGAAATTTTAATAATAATAACATCAACAACAATAACAATAGCTAACATTTATATAGTGCTTTACAGTTTGCAAAGCATTTTCCAAATATTTAATTTAATCCTCACAATCACCCTAAGAGGTAGGTGTTATTATAATCTTACGATGAGGAAACTGAGGCAGGTAGAGGTTAGCTGACTTGCCCAGGGTCACATAGCTAGTAATTTTCTGAGCTGGATTTGAACTCAGGTTTTCCTCTCTCCAAGTTGAGATCTATTCCACTTCAACACCTAGCTGCCTTTTTTTTTTCTTTCTTATTTTATTGTTTACTACTTGTAAACTTTTTTTTTTAGCTCACTCTTTTGGGAGTAAGCTTCTTTCTTGGTAAAGTGGTGGGTATGTTTAAATGTATTGACCTCATTTTTCAAATTGTCCTTGTGGTTATTCTCCATTTTTAGGCAGGTCACATGTGCCAAAATACAGGGAAACCAGGCTGACCGTATGTGAGATTTAGTATGCGTATGTGTATGTGAACCATATCTCGATGTTTGTATGCTCTATGTGTAAATGTATGAAGGTGTTGATGTGTGAATGTGTATTTTTGTCTCCTCAGTATTGGGATAGGGAATGGGGTGAATGTGTACATGTGTTTGAATATAGGAGTATGAATATGTTTATAGAGAGAGAACTGTAAAAATTGAGTTGTGAGTTAGGAAACCTAATTTCTCTTCTCATCTGCCCTTATAACTAGTTGTTTCAATATAGGCTAGTTTCTCCATCCCTCCAAGCCTGTTTCTTCATCTGTAAAATGGGGTTAATAATAAATATTCCCTGTAAGGAAGTAATCCTTTAGAGCCCAAGACCTAATCCCAAAAAAGCAGTCCAGTCAAGTAGGGGTTAAGTTTATTTTTTATTTAAAAAAATTTTTTTTTATGCAATTGGGGTTAAGTGACTTACCCAGGGTCACACAGCTAGTAAGTGTCAAGTGTTTGGTCTGAGGCCAGAGGTGAACTCAGGTCCTCCTGACTTCAGGGCTGGTGCTCTATTCATTGAGCCACCTAGCTGCCCCTTGGAATTTGGGAGATAGACTGTAAGTAGACCCCAGCTTCTGATGGCTGGAAGGGACTCAATGTGTTGCTGCAGGGATCAAGTGAGATAATGGACATAAAAACCTTTGGAAATTTCATTGCTGGACAAACTAGGCTTAATCACCTTGACCAGGAAGTTTCACTTTCTGGACTCTTTGCCTTTACTCACATCATTCCTCTTACCTGCCTGGCAAAATCCTACCAATTCATCTCAGATTCGGTGTTCTCCATGGTCATCCCACTTAGGAGTAATGTCTCCATTCTCTTGGAAATTTCCATAGACCTATATTCTGTACCACTCACATTGGTTCATAATAATAATAGTTAGCATTTAAGTGCTGCACACATGTTGCCTCATTTGGGCCTCATAGAAACCCTGTGAAGTAGGAGCTATTATTGTTATCATTTTACCGCCGGGGAACTGGGGCCCAGAGAGATTAAGTGACTTGTCTGAAGTCACAGAGCTCCTAAAAATGTCTCAGGTAGAATCTGAACTCATCTCCCTGGCTTCAAGTCTAGCCCTCTTAACCAGTGGACCAACTAGCTGCCTATCACTTATTGGAACTATCTAATGTTTTAGTTATGTCTCAGCTTTCCCTAGATTGTAAGCTCCTGGAAGGTAATGATTTTGTTTCAAGAAGGGGCAAAAACCCTCCTTTGTATTCTTTTTTTCTTTTCTTTCTTTTTTTTTTTTTTGGCAAGGCAATCAGGATTAAGTGACTTGCCCAGGGTCACACAGCTAGTGTCAAGTGTCTGAGACCAGATTTTAACTCAGGTCCTCCTGAATCCAAGACCAGAGCTCTATCCACTGTACCACCTAGGTACCCCTCCTCTTTTGTGTTCTTTAGGATCATATTTTCATATGTGTATACATATATGTATGTTGAATCTCAGAGGATCATGGGGTTAGGACTAGAAGGTATCTTAGAGGTTATCTAAACATAAGATGGGGGCAGCTAGGTGGAACAATAAAGCAATGGGTTTGGAATGAAGAAGACTCATTTTCATGAGTTCAAATCTGCCCTCAGATACTTACTAGCTGTGTGAACCTCAGCAAGTCACTTAACCCTGTTTGCCTCAGTTTCCTCATCTGTCAAATGAGTGGAGAAGGAAATGTCAAACCACTCCAATATCTTTGCCAACAAAACCCAAAAATCAGGTCACAAAGAGTCAGACTTCATTGAAATGACTCAATAACAACAAAAAATCATAAAACAGGCATTTCAGTGGCTCAGTAGATAGAACACAGTCTAAAGTCAGGAAGACCTGAGTTCAAATCCAGTTTCAGGCACTTACTAACTTTTGTGACCCTGAGCAAGTCACTTTACGTCCGCTTGCCTTAATCCACTGGAGAAGGAAATGTCCAATTTCTTTGCCAAGAAAACCCCATGAAGAGTATGGTCCACAGGAACAAGAAGAGTCAGACACCTGTGAATAGAAGTGGAAGGAACCTTAGAGGATATCTAGCCTATCCCTCTCACTTTACAGATAAGGAAACTGAGGCCCAGGATGGTTGAGTGATTCACTTATGGTCACGTAAGTAGTAAGGGTCAGAGTTGGAGATTTGAACCAGTAAAGTAGCACCAGCTTTGCATATAGGTGCCCAATGAAGGTAAGAGTAAGAATTTAGTCAATGAAAAGAGCACAAGAATGAGAGTCAGGAAGCCTGGGATCTAGTCCTCTCTTCTCTACTCACAGGGTGACCTGAGACAAGTCACTTCACCTTTTTAGGTCTTAAATAGATAGACGCAGAAAGGAAGAAAAGAGGGAAGGAAAGAAGAAAGGAAGGATGTGGAATAGTTCTGAATTCTGTGATCCAAATTCTATGATTTGTTCTATGAAGATAGTGCCATGCAAACCTAAGGTGTGTCTACTCTGCGTTTGTTAGAGTGCACCTCTGGGGAAGTGTCAGTTTCTAGAGAGTCGGCAGTGTTCATGGATAGGTGTGTGATTGCAGGCTGAGCAAGGTCTCCAGCAAGTCAGTGGGGTGGGTGTGCGCATGCGCAATATCATGCTGGGCAGGAAAGAATGACTTCTGCCCAGCCTTTGAGGATCTGCTTTCCCCCACCTCTGTGGCTAACATGGCGCCCCCTAGGCCTCTTCCTTCAGCCGGACGGCCCCACCCTCCGGGACCAGCCCCCGCCTCCCTTCGCAGCGCACTTCCGCTTCCGGTCCCGCCTTTGGCGCGGAGCTGGAGCGTGATGGCGGCCGGAGGCGGCGACCCTCGCGCCGGCGATGTGGAGGAAGACGCCTCGCAGCTCGTCTTCCCCAAAGGTGCGCCCGGCGGGCGCTGCGGATCCCGGGGGTGGGGGAGAGGGCGAGCACCCCGCACCCCGACCGGGGTCGTCCTCCCTCCCTGGGGGAGCCCGCCACCCTAAGGCGGGACCGCCCCGTGCGAGGGCAGGACCGGGCTGAGGGGTACCTCGCGGTCCGGGGGGCGGTGCCCCGGGGTGCGGAGGCGGGGGCTGGAGGAGCCGGCGCCCTCCCCCGGGGGGTCCGGGCTGTCAGCGGCTTACCGGAGCCGGCTTCCTTCTGGAAGGAAAAAAAGCCCATAATGGGCCCTTTCTCGCTGTTCCTCGCGCAAGACGCTCCATCCTCGGCCCGGGCTTTGCCCGCTGCCCCGGGGCGTGCAATGCTTCCCCTCGCCCCCCCGGAGTGCCGGTCCCTCCCTCCTGCTGCTCAGCTCCGGGGGAACTTGTCCGAATCCTGCTCTTTGGTAGCCCTCGCAGCCCCCCTGGGGGGCAGGGACTGCCTTTCATCTCTCTGTGTATCCCCAGCCCTTAGCACCGGTTTCTGGCACGTAGTAGGTGCTTCAGAAATGCTTATTGACTGACACTTCCCGCCCCCCATCAGGGACGAGGATGGAGGGTGAAGAGTGAAGCTTGGCTTGGACTGGTGCTATATATTGAGTGGAGTGAGAAATGGGAAATAATTGATGGGACAGGAGGCACCTGGAGGCTTGGTCTGCTGTCAGGAAGTCTGGGCCTCAGACTCTTACTAGCAGTGTGACCTTGGGCAAGTCACTTAACCTCTTGTTGCCTGTTTCCTCATCTGTAAAATAGGGATAATGATAGCACCTATTAATAGTAGCATATATAGCACAACAACTTAGGGTTGTTGGGAGGATCAAATGAGATAATTATAATGCAGTTAGCACAGTGCCTGGCCCATAGTAAACACTATATAAATGTTATCTGTCATAGTTTTTATTATCGTACTTGAAAGATGTAAAAAAATAAAATGCTGGTTACATGTAAATACAGTGATTTTAGTACTTGTTGTGGAGTCATAAGACCTTGGACAAGAAAAAAATGTCCTCCAAGTTTTTGTTGAGGCAGGCATACAGTCAGCTCCAGATGCAGAATTAACATTTGGAAGCAGAATTTTAAGTGATGTTTGTGGAACTGACATTTATTATTTCTCATTAATAGAGTTTGAAACAGCAGAAACTCTTCTAAATTCCGAAGTCCACATGCTTCTAGAGCATCGAAAGCAACAGAATGAAAGTGCAGAGGATGAACAAGAACTTTCAGAGGTTTTCATGAAAACTTTAAATTACACTGCACGTTTTAGTCGTTTTAAAAACAGGGAAACCATTGCTAGTGTTCGGAGGTAAGTGCCAAAGGAAAATTATTTTATTAAGAAATGATATGTGCTGTGGTCACCTGTACTTAGAATGCTCTCTTATGGATTAATGTTTGGGCAGCTAGGTGGCACAGTGGATAGAGTACCAGGTCTGGAGTCAAAAAGACTTACCTTCCTGGATTCAAATCTAGCCTCACACTAGCTGTGTAACCCTGGGCAAGTCATTTAAACCCTATTTGCCTCAATTTCCTCATCTGTAAAATGAGCTGGAGAAGGAAATGGTAAACCTCTACAGGATCTTTGCCAAGAAAACCCCAAATAGAGTTACAAAGAGCTGAACAATTTAGGAAAACAAAGGTAAAGTTTAGAGGGTTTTTTAAAAATTTAATTTTTTTGTTATACTTTAAGTTAAAACTGCCTCCCTTCCTCCTCACACACATTAGAGAGGGCCAGCATTTGACACAAATTTACAAATATATGTAAAACCATACTATGCATACTTTGTTTATCAGTTCTTTCTCTGGAGGTGGATAGCATCTTCATAGGTCCTTTTTAGTTGATTTGAGTATTTATAGTACTCAGAATAAGTTGGTTATTCACAATTATTTTTCATACAGTATTACTGTTCTCTATACAATGTTTACTTGGTTCTGCTCACTTCACTTTTCATTACTTTGTGCAAGTCTTTTCAAGTTTTTCTAAAATCAGCCAGCACATCATTTCTTTTTCTTTTTTTTTTTAAATTAATCAATTATTTATTTATTTATTTAAGGCAGTTGGTGTTAAGTGACTTGCCCAGAGTCACACAGCTAGTAAGTGTCAGGTGTTTGGTCTGAGGCCGGATTTGAACTCAGGTCCTTCCGACTTCAGGGCCGGTGCTCTCTATCCATTGCACCACCTAGCTGCCCCCAACACATCATTTCTTACAGCATAGTAATATTCTGTCACAATTACATACCGAATCTTGTTTAGCCATTCCCCAATTGATGGGCATCCCAGCTTTTAATGACACCCTACAATATCTAGTATGTTTTTTCCCACCACAAGAGAGCTTCTATAAATATTTTAGAATGTATAGGGGGCAGCTAGGTGGCGAAGTGGATAGAGCACGGGCCCTGAGTCAGGAAGATCTGAGTTCAAATCCTGTCTCAGACCAGCCACTTGACACTTACTAGCTGTGTGACCCTGGGCAAGTCACTTAACCCCAATTGCCTCGCCAAAATAAACAAACAAACAAAAAGAATATATAGGTTCTTTTCCTTTTTCCCTGATCATCTTGGCAAACACACCTAATTATCTCTGGGTCAAAGTTTTATAACACTTTTTTAAAACACAGTTGTTTTTTTTTAACACTTTGGGCATAATTTCAGATTGTTCTCTAAAATGATTGGATCAGTTTATAGTTCCACCAGCAGTATATTAATGTCCCAATTTTTCCACATCCCCTCAGAGGATTTTTAATAGAGAATACCTGGCATTATGGATTTGGCATGAATTTTGAAGTAAGAAAAAAGGAAACAATAGCAAACAACACCAGAATCTATTGCAGGCAAAAGTAGATTAATTTTAGGTCCCTGAAAAATACTGCCTTCTTACTAGTGTATGTTCTGTGTTGTTGGGTCTTAGTAATAAGCTAACCTAACCACAGATACTATTCTTTTCTTAACTTCCTTATCTCAGCCTTCTCTTTGCCATTCTTGATGTTCCATATTGCCCATGCAGGCAGAGGAAGACATTTGAATGGGAGGTCCTTTGCTAACATTAACTATATTCAGGCAGTATCTGTGAAGGGGTTGTGTTCTTTCTTTTATGACACCCTACAACACCTAGTATGTAGTAGGTGTTCAATATATACTTTCTGAGTGAATGATTTTGTGCTGTCATTCTTTCTTTTTTTTTATATCATATTCTCTCTGTTCAGTTTGTTACTCCAGAAAAAGCTCCATAAGTTTGAGTTGGCCTGTTTAGCAAACCTTTGTCCTGAGACAGCAGAAGAGGCTAAGGCTCTGATTCCAAGGTAAGAACTAATTCAGGGTCAAGGAAACTAACAAAATGGAATGCTTTGTAACTGTAATCATCAAGCTTGGCCCCCCATAAGGGATGAAAATATACCCATCTTCTTCCATTAGAAAGATGGGGGACTGTGGGTGTAGACTGTTACATAATTACATCAGATGCAGTTGATGTGTTGATTGGTTTTGCTGAACTGTTTTGCCTACTTCCCCTCTTTCAATCTGTTTCAAGGGAAGGCTCACTGGATAGGGGAGAAAGAAAAGCTATATTCAAAAACTAATGTGATACACAAACAAAAAGCCTCAGTAAAAAGAAACGTAAATTATTTAGGCCTGTGCATGTGAATTCTTAATTTTCCTTACCTAATATTAAACTGTGGTGGAGAGAAAGATTGAAAGAAAAGTCAGGTTTTGTATCTAAGATTTGAAAAATGACTAATGATGGGCAGCTAGGTGGCACAGTGGATAGAGGACTGGCCCTGGATTCAGGAGGACCTGAGTTCAAATCCAGCCTCAGACACGTAACACTAGCTGTGTGACCCTGGGAAAGTCACTTAACCCCATGGCCTAACCAAAAAACAAAACAAAACGAAAAATGACTAATGAGGAAACCATTCGTTATAACTGGGAAATGTCATCTTTAGGCTTAAATGAAAAGGTGGTAGGCAAGTAGTGTTGAAAATTGGTATAGGGAAGCTGAGAGGTTGTGGAATTCTTAAGATTAAGAAAAAAGCATCTTCACTCTCATTGATTGGTCAGTTTGGTTCTCTTGCAGCCTGGAAGGTCGATTTGAAGATGAGGAATTGCAGCAGATTCTTGATGATATCCAGACCAAGAGGAGCTTCCAGTATTAGTACTAGGAACCCAGCCCTTCAGTGAAGATAGAAGAGGAAATTTCCCAAAATTCCTCTGCAGTTGAGGAGAACTTGGACTCCCTTCAGAGACCGTGAAGAAATTTAGTCACAAAAGTAGGTCAGGCCACCTGTGGACAAGGCAATGCAGTCTTGCATCAACAAGTAATTCAAACTTGTGAACAGTTGTGATTCTGATTGACTCTTTGAATATTTGAGATGTGGCAAAGGCCAGGAATGCCATTGACTCTTAAAGGGGCTTTGGGATGATTTCCTTTAATGAAGGGTTTTCAAATGAGGTAGTGGACCAGTACCTAGATGTTTGCATCATCCTCTCCATCTCTTCTCTTAAAGGGAAATATTAAGGGTAAAGAGTGAGGTGGGAGAATTTAGCCAGTAAATACATGTGGCATGTTATTGACTACCTCATATCACTGATTTTGGCACTTCATTTATATTCACATTTCTGGTTTGAATTTCAAGCTATTGTGAAATATTATTGACCCAAATTAGAATATATAAAAATAGCTTGAGTAAAAAAAAAAAAAAGGTGTGTCTCATATAAATGATGGAAGGAAAAAATCTAAGTGAACCTATACCTGAATGTTTGAAATTCAAAAAAACAGAAAAACTGAACACCTCACAATCTTGAAGTATCATATAGTCAATTTGACCAAAACTCAGAGGGAAGAAGATAGAGAAACTGCTGGTAGTCTTAGGGCATCACTGTATATAAGTTCAGAAGAGCTTTGATTTAGAAGGCTCAGTTTGGCCTCTCATATCCTCAAGGCTTCAAGGTTTTGGAGCAGGAGGGAATTTGTGGGATTTACTCCTATCTGGCAGCTGCTGTGGGAAAGGGTACTTGCTGAGTTTAAGCTAGTCCTTGATCCTGATTTTAAATGCCATTCAATTCAATATAGGTTTGTTATATCACAGGAAGATATTGGGGAGGGCCAGAGAGAATGAGACTTGATTCTGGTTAGTCATCACAATAAACTAAGTTTGGGACAGATTTCTAGTCCTAAATTTCAGCATTGATTTCTGAAAGGTCACACAAATAGTTTTTGCAATTGCTTCTCCCAAACCCTAAAATCTGTTACTGTAATTTGATCTAATAATAGAAAGGGGAATGGGTGGATTCTGTATTGGATAGCCAGTTAATTGTGTAATTCCTAAGAAGTAGACTTACTCTAGGAAATAAAATTACTTTTCAATAAAGTTAGGAGAACCTGCATTTTGTGGAGTATGAGGACTTTGAAATAATGTTATTTCCTCTTTATGTAAATATAGAGAAAAAACATTTCATGAGAACAGTCATTGACCTACTGAAACTTTGCATTTCTCCTAATGCCTGCCACAGTGTCCTGTACACAGTAGGTGCTTAAATGTCAAATTGAAGGAATAAAATTAACCAAACAGCTTCTACATATCAAAAAATCAGTCCAAGAAACTTAACAAATTCTGGATCCATAAAAACAAACAAAAGTTTATTCTAGGTCAGTGGTTCTTTCGTTGGTTGAGGCATAGTGTTCTTATTTGAGGAACCTTGGCAAACTGATTGTTTAAGTTGGCAACAAAATAGGGTTCTTAAGTAGTTTGACCTTTTGACCCTTTACTTGGGCCTTGAGATTCCTCTTCTCTTCTCTCTGGCCTCCTTCCACCACCCCTATACCTATTGTTACTTCCCCTAGACTTTCAGCCAATAGAGCTGCTGTTCTGATTCCAATTGTAATGACAGATAGCAAACTCCCACTGAGCATTTGGGCTAGGCTAGGGAGTCCTAAAATCCCGCAGTGTGTGGAAGAAATGGGGAAGAGGTGAGAGTAGACTAATAAATGGTGATGCTTGCAAACTTGCTGTTTAGGAAGGCAAAATTTTGTAACATCTAGCAAAACTGATGAACCTTTTTGAACCATTGTCGTAAGTGTGTATAGTAAAACTTCAGCCAAAATTGAAGTAATTAGGACTCACTCAGAATTGTTTTTGAACTCTGATTTTAAGAGACTTTTTTTAAAGCTCATATCAAGACTTTTATAATGCAGTTCCGTAATGTGCCCTTGAGTCAGTACCTGTTTAACCCCATCTTCTACATTTTTGGCAGCTACCCAAAAGGCCTTTTGGGTGTGAAGTCGGGAAGACTCATTTTCCCAAGTTCAAATCTGGTCTCAGACACTTGCTAGCTGTATAACCCTGGGCAAGTCACCTAGTCCTGTTTGCCTCAGTTACCTCTTTTGAGCTGGAGAAGGAAGTGGCAAACCACTCTAGTATCTTTGCCAAGAAAACCCCAAATGGGGTCATAGACTCGTACACAACTGAAATGACTGAACAAACAAAAATAGTTGTGGTCTTTCTGTTTACTAGTTGTTTGACTTTAGAGAAGTTACTTCCACTTCTCCAATTAAACCTTAGTTTTCTTTTCTGTAAAATGAGGGTTTTACCTGCCCGGCATATTCATAGGATTATAAGCACTAGGAAAGAATACAAATTCCTCCAGCATTTAAAACTCTTCACAATGTGGCTCCAGTCTCTGAACTTCTTCCGTTATTCCCCCTCATACAGATTTTATAGTCCAATCAAACTGGCCTGTTTGCTGTTCTTCATAGATGACATTCTATCTCATATGTTTGCCTTTTCGCAGACTGTCCTGCATACCTAGAGTTGCTCTCTTCCTTTGCCTGTCAGAATCTCTAGCTCCCTCCAAAGCCCAGTTCAAGTATGTCTCCCCCCAAAACTTCTGATGCATTTACTTTAGATGTATTATATTTGTTTATCTGTATTCATGTTGCTCCCCCTGTAGAGTATTAGCTCTTTGATGGCAAGGACTGTTTTTGTATCCCCATATCCCCAGTGTCTTGCACGTAACAGGTATTTAACAAATGCTTGTAGAACTGAAGAATGTTTTTTTTCAGGTGCCTTGAAAAATAAAAACCTACATATATATATGTAAAATATTGTCAATCCTGGATACTCACCCATATTCTTTCTCATTTATATAAAATGTTAATGAGAATGGTCTATATATATTTCAAGGTTATCTTTTACTTGCTTTTTAAAAATTTTGTTATTTTCTACTTGACAACATCAAACATATAGTTCCATATACATAGAAGTACAGAAAAAGCACTGTACATGAAACCATAATGAAGATAGTAGCATGCATTAGGCAGGTTTTCACAAGCAAGATTATCATTGGACTTCTAAAACATTTGATTCAGTAGAGCAAAATACCACCATAAAAGTTCTCCAACAAGGTATTTCTTATGCATATTTAAAAATCATGCAATATTCCTTGAAAGATGCTAACAACAGAGGAAACATCATTTGGCCACCCTTAGATCATTAATTTCAATTAAAATATGAAACATTTATAAATGTTATACAAAAGCATTTATTAAGCAAACTTAGTAAGTTTTGGGCAAACAAAAGAAAGATAGCCCTTGTCCTCAAAGAACTTATACCCTAATAAGGAAAGACCATACATATTGAAGAATGGCATCCTGGGAGCAGTGTTTTATATTGAAAGTCATAGAGTTGGTGAGTGGAGCTATAGGACAATTGGGTTGACATGTTCTTTTCAGAAATGGTAGTGTGATTTGATTACTGTTCCCAGAGCCAGGAGTGAAAAGCAGAGGAGAAGAAGGGAGCACATGAAGAGCAGCATAATGGTGGGGATAGGTAGGCTAATTAGAGAAAACTGGCACTAGTCAGAAGTGCGGGGCTCTAAGGCACGAGTCTGGTCAAGGATGTGTAGCCTGAAGACGTCTGTGGTTAAGCTCACTAAAGATGTTTCCCACCATCATGAAGGAGATCTGGTGAAGAATCCAATTAAAGGAGGGATTCCTGATTGTGAGATTCTCCAGGTGCAACTTTACATAGTCATAATCATAGTCAGTAAATATTTTTAAGCGCCTACTATATGCCAGGCACTGTGTCAAGTGCTGGGGATACAAATAAAAAAATAATCCTCACCCTCAAGGAGCTTACAATCTAAAGGGGGAAGATAATACACAAAAGGAAGCTGGAAAAGGGGGTGGGAGAGGCCACCATTTGTTAAGTGGAAACTAGAGCAACCAATGGAAAATGTGGAGTTATTCTGAGCTCTTGCATTATAGAGGGAAGGCTTTGGGTGTTTATTACTCTGACCTCCAGCCCTCCAGTCAGAGGGGACAGGGATACTGAGGTGCTGAATATCAAACAAACGATAAGATTCCAGGTGACAAACTTATCTTGGGGAAGGCATGATGTTCCTGGAATCCAGAGCAAGCATCAGAGCAGTTGATGGAAAATTAGGAGACAGATGATATACTGATTACACCAAAACCCAGAACACCAGCAGAACCTTTGAAAAGGCATCTAGAATCATTCTAAAGAGTTTGGCTTGATTCTGCATACAGGAAAAACTAAGTGAATGAAAGATGACTACTATAGTCTTGGCTATGACATGCATCCCCACTAGCTACCATCCTACCTTTCTCCTCCTCCTTTCAGCTCCTTGAGAAAGCTATGCACTAGGTGCCTCTACTAGCTCTCTTCACTTACTCTTCTAAACCCTCTGCACTGAGTTCTGACTACATCATTCCAATGAACTGATTTCTCCAAAGATAGCAGCGATCTCTTAATAGTCAAATCCAAAAGCCTTTTTTCAATCCTCAAATTTGATTTTTCTGTAGCCTTTGACACTGTCAATTCCCCTGTCCTAAATAGGTTCATCTCAAGTTTTTCATAACATTGCTCTCTCCTGGTTCTGTTGTCTGATGGCTCCTCAGTCTCATTTATCTTCCCAGCCCCCTCATTCTGAACAGCACAGGGGGCACATGTGGGAAAGACCCTTTTCAGATATACAGCAGGACACAAAAAGAAATTTGTATATGAAACTCTGAATGTTCGTTCAGTCCCACTTGCTTTTTTAAAAAGTATGTAATATGCTTGCCTTCTCAATGGGTGGGTGGGGGGAGAAAATTTGGAATTAAAAATTTTTTTAAATGAATGTTTAAAAAACATGAAAAGCATACTCATTCAACATATTACTTTAAAAATTATTTTGCTTCTCTGTAATTTCTTCTGAACTTTATTTTGTTCTCTTCTGTGCATTTTAAAAAATGTTTTAATGGCCACCTTTTTTTGACATCATTATTGCCAAAATTACTATTGGGGTTACTGGGGTCATTCTCCTAGTCACCCTAGTTTACAACGTTGATGTCATCCTCAAATCCTCATTTATATTCACTCCATGTATACAATCTGTTGCTATATCTTGTCATTTCTACCTTCACAATATTTTTTATATATGCCATCCCCTTCTCTCTACCCATATAGCCACATAGTATTAGTACATGCACTCATCACATTTTGACTGGACAATTGCAATAGTCTTCTAACTTGTCTCTCTGCCTCAAATTTTTCCCTATTCTAATCAATTCTCTATTTAGCTGGCAAAGTAAACTTTTCCCCCTAAAGCACAGGAGTGACTATGTCACCCTTCCCTTCTCACAAAACTCTAGTAGCTCCCTATTACCTCCAGGATTGAATAAAATGTCCTCTATTTGGCTTTTAAAGCACTTTACCA